ACTCAGTATACTGTCCTCCAAGATCATCCATGTTATGTGGTGTTTCCCAGATTTTGCATTATTCTTTAATGTTGCACAGCATTCCATTGCACGTATGTACCATAGTTTGGTTATCCATCGTTCTGTTGATGGGCACTTAGTTTGTTTCCATCTCTTTGCTACTGTGAATAGTGTCGTAATGAACATGAGTGTGCATGTATCTGTTTGTGTCTTACTTCTTTAGGATATATACCTAGTCAATGGGATTGCTAGGTGCTCTGGTGGCATAGTGCCTAAGGCATCTGACCGCTAACCAGAAGGCTGGTGGTTCAAATCCACCAGCCACTCCTCGGAAGGAAGATTGGGCAGTATCTACTTCCATAGAGATACTGCGTATGGATCCCAAGGAGGGGTCACTATGAGCCAGAACCAACTCAACACCAGTGAGTTTTTTTAATGGGATTGCTGGATCAAATGGTATTTCTATTTCCAACTTTTTAAAGAATAGCCATACTGCTTTCCACAGTGGTTGTATCATTTTACAGTCCCACAAACAGTGTATGAGAGTTCCAATCTCTCCACATCTTCACCAGCATTTATTATTTCCTGTCTTACTGAAGTTTGCTATTAGTGCTGGGGAGAGATGTATGTCATTGTTTTGATTTGCATGTCACTAATGGCTAATGATCGTGAACATGTTTCTATCCTTTTCTGTGTTCTGGAATAGTTTTAGTAAGATTGGTGTCAGCTCTTTTCTGAAAGTTTGGTAGAATTCTCCAATGAAACCATCTGGGCCAGGACATTAGTTTGTTGCTAATTTTTTAATGACCTGTTCAATTTCTTCTTTTGTTATGGGTCTATTCAAATTTTATACCTCGGTTTGTATTAGTTTAGGCAACTAGTGTGTTTCCAGAAATTGGTCCATTTCTTCTAGGTTTTCAAATTTGTTGTACAGTTCTTCATAGTATCGTGGTTATTATCCTTTTAATTTCAGTTGGTTCTGTTGTGATGTTGCCCATTTCATTTCTTACTCATATTATCTGTATATTCTCTTTTGTTATATTTGCCAGCAATCTGTAGATTTTACTCATCTTCTTAAAGAAACAATTTTTAGTCTTGTTGATTTTTTTTTTCTACTCTTTCTATTTTGTTTCATTTATTTCTGCTGGAGTCTTTATTATTTCATTTCTTTGGGTGTCTGAAGGGTTTTTTTTTTTTTTTTGCTGCTCTTTTTCTAATTGTTGGAGATGTTGGGTTAAGGTGTTGATTTTGACTCTTTTTTGATGTGAGCATTTATTGCTGTAGCTTGCCCTCTAACCACTGCTTTTGCTGTGTCACAAAGATTTTGGTATGTTTGTTTCCTTTCTCATTTGATATTTACTTTTCATTGGTAACTTTTACTGTTTCTGTACTTCAAACTAATATATAAGTCCAGTATATCTGAGAGAACCTCTAGACCTCAAACGATGGCTGAAAGGTAAGAATTCTAAATTAAGATTATGATTCATGCACTGGCATGTGCTCCTTCAAATTTCTCATACTACCCTCAATTGCTTTGGGGAGATAGGCAGCATCTGCCAAAATTTTATTAGATTTGAATTTATAAGACAGCTTTTACATTGTCAGCATATAATGGCAATAGCCATTATATGTTCTCAATTTGTGTTATAAGGTAAAACTTGTTGCCATCGTTGAGTCAACTGTGACTCACTGAGACCCTATAGGACAGAGTAGAACTGTCCATAGGATTTCCAAGGCTGAAATCTTTATGGAAGGAGACTTCCACATCTTTCCCCTGTGGAACAGCTGGTGGGTTTGAACCACTGCCTTTTGGTTAGCAGTGGAGCACTTAACCACAGTGCCACCAGGGCACCTTTGTTACAGGGGTAGCATAGATAATTTTCTCAAAATATTCCATTTTTAATTCTCTAAGATGATTATAAAATGGTTAGTATTCTCTTATTTTCCAATAGTCTAGAAATTCAGGTCATAAAATAACCTCAAACAAGAGAAATGTACATATTAGTATTTATATTTTAGATAGCATTAATGCACACTGTTCTTCACTTATGAAGACTTTTTTTTTAACCTCTTTACTTAATGCTTAGCACAGAGTAGGCCTTCCATAAATATCTACTGAATGACAGATGCTAATGGCTGTGTAGGACTAGAACACAAAGAGTCCCCAGTATCTCCAGTGATGTGGACAATCTGCTCTGAATCTTCATGGCCCTCCCCAAGACAGAAAGTATTTGAAAGAAGGATAACTGACATTAATTAGTCTTAGATATTGTGAATGTAGTAAAGGGTAATGCATATTTTGATTATCAGGAAGTCTCTATAAGGAAGTAACACTTAAAACCAAAGTTACAAATTACAATCTATTTAAACTTTAATTTGTGCATTTGTGGTAATTTATGACTGCAAAACACTTGAGTTTTTTTTTTTTTTTGAATGACATAGTTAAAGGCACATTTCATTTGAATGCATAGTGTACCATTCTAAAATATCCTAATTTCCTTACAAAGTGCTTGAGCAGTCACTTACACATACAGTAATAGCAAAATATATTTACACTTGATAGAGTTTAAAATTTTAAATCTGACTAAAATATATATAAATTTTAAAAACTACAGAAAAAATTAGTGCTTTCTTCAGCTTAATTGTGTGAATATACCCTGCCCTCTATTTTTTTTTTTTTAGTGATTGACTTCAATTAAAAAAATTTCTGTACACTGTGTAGTTACAAAATGCTACCTCAGTTTTTAATGCTAAAGCCCCTTTTGGACATTGCTTTCTATGCATATTTGAGAACCAGAAAAGGTGAACGGACTGTACCTCAAAAGTATGTAGTGTTTCTTTTTAAATGTTGTGTTAACACTGTTTTTAAATTAAAGCCAGACAATAAGGCTAAGCTCCTCTATTGTCCTCTGCCAAGGAAATTAGCTGGCACTTAAAAATAACTTTAAAGATGTTTTCCCCCCCAAGATCTGGGGTAATACCATATTTTTACCCAAATAATGTGCACTGTCTGTGTTTGTTGGCCACACCACTCCTCTCTTTGAGACATCCTCACAAGATCATTACACTAATTTTTCTTCATAGCAACACGTAAAAAAAGCAAAACAAAAAAACTGCCATAGAGAAGCCTATGAAAAAATCTCACAAGGCGAGGGTGCAGCTGACAAATGCAGAGATGTGCACTATTTGCATAAAAGTACAGTAGTAATTTAGAAAACTAAAAAACTAAACACACTGCCATCGAGTTGGACCCAACTTATAGCGACCCCTCCTTGGGTTTTTGAGGTGGTATCACTGTGGAAGTAGATTGCCCAACCTTCCTTCCGAGGAGTGGCTGGTGGTTTCAGACCGCCAGCCTTCTGGTTAGCAATCAAATGCCTCAGGCACTATGCCATCATTTTAATTGTTCTTCAGAATACAGTAAATGTATATAAACACACCCTGGCAAGGCTGAAATATTTATAATTTTTTTTTTTTAGCTCAACTCTAATAAATCAGTGTGCTCTCATGTTTTTCATAGGGTTTAAACTGAACAATTTGTGAGATGAGCTTACCATGATTATGAAATGGTTAATTCAGTATGGTTAGTTAACAGCTTGCTATTCCTGAGGTATGATGATCCTGAATGCTAAGCACAGGATCAAAGATGTTATTACTAAACTAAGGAAAAACAATGATGTCATGGGATAGGGGGTACACAAAAAAAAAACTTCAGGCAAGTGGAAAGTCATGGATGGCAAAATGACTATCCCATAAAAATAATTTAAAAAGCCATTAACCCTCTGAAGAGTTGTAAAAAAGTATTTGATCAAATTATTTTAGAGACTTTTGAGGTACAGCTTTAGTGTTAAAATAATTTTTTATAAAATATAGACTGTTTTATCAAAAATATTTATACATTCTGTTACAATATATTGCTTTTACCCTCAGTAACTGCCAATATAAAATCCGGATCCAGTGGCCTAAAAAGTCCAAATGCACTTCATGTAAATGCTGGAGTCTGAGGTGTCTTCTTGGCCACTGTACAAAAGTGATGAAGTGGTGAAATTAAATAATAAGCCTACAACACAGAATACATTACAACTTGCACATATACATGTTCACAGCATGTATACAATGATAATCCCTATGGTTTAACAAAGATAGAGTTACCTTCTACAGCAGACACAAGAACAGGATGCACTAGGCTGATAAATGTAGACCAGATATCAAAAAAAGGAGTAATCAGTTCATTGATTTTGGAAGAAAGCATACATGAGTGTCTAGACTTTGGGAATGCATATGGGTGATACAGTATCTTAGTTCAGATTGATCAGAAATTCTCATTCTTAAATTTTAAGTGAATGTTGATGCTCTGTTGTTCCTGTTCCTTTCAGCATGTTTAATAAACAAAAAACTGTTTGGCAAGTAGCTCTGTTGGTAAGCTCTGAGGCTCTGTTATAGGCTGGTAAAGATAAGGCAATAAAAACATTTTCTCCTAATAAATATAGAAAATTTATAAAATAAAGCAATGATTCATTCTGTTTTGTTAAAAAAAATCAAGCCCCCAAAATGTGCACAAACTGTAACTACATTCTTTGATATTACAGTAATTTCTTTTAAAAAATATAAGCGCATTTGTTTGCCTTATTCAAACAGAATCATCGTAAGTGTGAGTAGTAATAGCATTCCAAGCCCCCCCCCTTTTTTTCCTTTTCTCCTTTTTGTAAAAGAGCTAAGTGAAGTTAACTGATTCCTTCCACTTAAGGCAGGCATATGGCAAAGCTAGGTACTGTAGAAGAGTGTTTTTTTTTTCTTTTTTAAAAAACAGACTATTGATCCAAAAGTATTCATTTGTGATGGTCCTTTTCATGGCCGATTTTACCCAGTTTAAACTCTATGAAACTGTTTCCAGTGCTCAGATTTATGTTCAGAATACATTAAGAAGCCACTTTTCAAGATGATTTTAGGACAGTACTTTTAAACAATCTTCATGTATTCAGAGCTATTGGTGGCACAGAGAGCAAATGAAGGGTTGCTATTCTTAAGAGGTCTTCTTGTGAGTTAGTTTGCTTGGTTTCACAGTGTCTAGGAGTTTAACACCAATCAGCAATGTAGTCAAAATCTCTGAACATTTCTTGCTCCTCTTCTGAAAGTATCCTTGGTTCTCGAGGTGGAGTCAGAATAGGTGCTTCTGAGGTAAATTCATCATCAAAATTACTAACATCTTCCCGTCCTCTAATGGTAGGTACAAATGGTGGCTTTACTTTTTTGTCCATCAGAGCACTCCAATCAATTAGCTGGATCACAAAATATAAGACGACCAGTTTAGTTTCTTACTCCTAATTGCTTTAATTTTATAAAAAAAAATTTAAAATTTTCATTCTTACCCGGAAAAATGGGTGCTTTTTTACATCCTCGGCATCTTTCTCCCCGGCTCCAAGGCGCCGCTCAGGATTTCTTCTTAACAGCTAACAAAATGTAAAGTAGAAAAGTTAAAATAAAACCAGTAACTTCATTTATAAGGATTTTCATAATTTTCAAAGACTTAGATGTCTTCTGCATCCGCCTAAACCATGCAAGGTCTGTGAATTGAAAAAACAAGTTCTAAAGGTTTACTTGCAAATTTTCTTCAACATAAAAAATTTAAATAGTTTACAAACCATTAATTCTTACCCTTCTCATTATGGAAATGGCTTCTGTAGATAAGAACCTTGGATACCTTACTTCATCATTTACAATACTGTCAAAAACTTCCTCTTCATCATCACCAGGAAAGGGAGACTAGAAGAAATATCTTTGAGTAAGTTACAATGAGTTTCAATATAGTAAGATCTCATCTATCCAAATGACAACAAAGGAAAAAAGAAATCCCACCAAAATAACAATAGCAACAACAACAAAAAAGACTGTAGGAAGCCAGAATAGATACTTATCTATTATTGAGAAGTTATGCCATATTGTTACTGAAATTCTCTTTAAACTCATTTTACGGACCTTTGACCTTTCTAACATACTTAGTCTAACATGTCATTTATCTAGTTCATTTAATTTTATTCCATTCATTTATTGCTGTACCTAGCCAGTCAGTAGTTAGAGCGCATACCAGATAAACCAAATAACCCACTGCCTTCGAGTCAATTCTGACTCATAGTGACCCTACAGAACTGCCCCGTAGGATTTCAAGTCTGTAAATCTTTACAGAATCAGAGTGCCTCATCTTTTTACCACAGAGCAGCTGGTGTGTTCGAACCACTGACCTTTTGGTTAGCAGCCGAATGATTTAACCACTACACCACCAGAGCTCTTTTCCATGGAGCCTACTGGATAGTGGCTCCATGTAATATACACAGTCCTCAAGCTGCTCATCTTGTGGAAAGGTAAAAGAAAATGGGTAAAGTAAATACAGTACTAAGTGTTACAACAGAAGGAGAATCTGTGGCTATGTATCAGATATGCATGTGCTTTAGATTTCAGAGTCAATAGCAAATTAATAGTGGCAAAACAGAATTACAGATTAGTAGGCACAACGTTACCAAGAAGCAGTGGTCAACCAAACTTTTTAAAAAGCACAAAATTCTAGGTATATTTAATGCTCTATATACTACAACAGGACTTGGAGGCATTTTAGTAAGCATAGTATTAAAATCATTGCTTCTAATAACAGTGACCCTGAGTCGTTAAAAAAAAAAAAGCTACATTATATTCAGTATAACAATTTGATGCACAAAGGGATAACACTGAACTATGTTGAAAACTTAGCTGTCAGATATGAGTTTGATACTTAGAAAGTAAAGACCACTATGGAATAGGGCTAAAATATAAATCTTTCTATCCTAAAATACTATCATGGTGTTTTTCTAAATATAGGTAAAATTTCAAACTTGATTTATTGGTTTTAAATAGATTTTTGAAGCCAAAATGGCAGGTTTAAAATCTCAGCTCTACCATTTGAGAACTGGGTGACTTTAGGCCAAGTTACTAACCTCTGTGTCTCTGTTCATGCCTATGAAAATAGGCATAAGAATAATACTGATATAAAATTCAAGGAGCTCTGGTAGTGGCTAAGGCACTTGACTGCTGACCAGAAGGCTGGCAATTCAAACCCACTAGCCTCTCCTCAGAAGGAAGGTTGGGCCACCTGCTTCTGTAATGATATTGCCTCGGAAACCCAAGGAGGGGTTGCTATGAGTCGGGTATGACTTGACGGCATATAACAACAACAACAACATAAAATTCATAAAGCAAACATAATAGTGAATAGTGCCCAGTATATGGTAAACCATTTTAATTCGTTACTTCTTTTGCCAGAGTATTCACTCCAATTTGATATACAAAAAGGGGGCTGTCCATTTGGATGAATTAACATGCATTTATTAACTTTTGTTCACTAAGTAACAAGCACAGATCAAAACTTCAGAAATTTTTACACTCAGTAATTTGGTCACTCACTTATTCATCTCTTACCCATGTCTTGAATGTACAAGGAAGGCTGTTGGTACTGGGGAAACTGCAGAACAATGAGCCAATCCTAAAATAATTTTTATTGTATCTCCAGTTCATCAAATCTAATAGATTTCAATTACTTGTTAAAGATTTACTCCTTCCCAAATCCACACTAATACATCATTTCTAATGATTTATAAAACAATATATTAGTCCATTATTATTTCATTATTTACTTGATATAATTCATTATTTCCTAAATAATAACAATTTCTGTGTATACCTAAATTATTCCTAGAAATTAAAGTTCAACTACAGAAAACAGTAAGGGGGGAAAAAAAGAAAGTTAATCTTTTCAACTCTAATCTAACTATTTTTGGAGGTAGCATTTATTTTAGACCACTGAATAGCTGACTTTTCTTTATAGATACAGGGTACATTCTTTTCATTAGTCTGGCTGCTATTCTAGTCCCTATGATCAGCTGTATATGATTGCCTTAAAATCATGAAACACAGCCATAGCAATATTGAAATATAAGGAATTATTTTCAAGGCAGTGGAATATATTCCACAGGTTATATAAAAATCTAAAAAAAAAAAAAAAAACCTGTGAAGATAACATAGAAACATAGCCAATTATTAGTATACTGTAACTATTTATAAAATTCAAGTACTACTTAAGCTGGAAACATATTAAGTGGTTTTATAAATAATAAAGCTAATAACTAATAAAGCTGAATTCTCTCAATCATTTTTCCTCTCCTCTCACCTATTTTATACTGCTTACCTCACCAACAAGCATTTCATATATAAGTACACCAAGGCCCCACCAGTCAACAGCTCTCGTATATGATGTTTCTGTTAATACTTCTGGGGCAAGAAATTCAGGAGTGCCACAAAATGTGCTTGTTCTATCTCCATATCCCATTCCTGAAAAAAAGGAAAATTTAAATATTTGTTAGCAAGAAAAAAAAATTCCTTTAAAAATTAGAAAATATCATTAGGAAGCAAAATTAAATTTGTACATTTGTACATGGTGACCAAACTCACACATACCCAAGACTTGTGTGAAAAATGTTAAGGATTGGTATAGAAAAAAATGTGTAAAAGCAATTATACTATCTAATTAATGGGTAAAAATACTTAAAATTCCCAAGTTTCATATTAGTCACTTATTTTCTCTTTCTTGTCATTATTTTATAAGGGTGGCTTATTTTATAAGGACTGCTAAGAAGTTACAACAAAAATGCACTAAATAGGAGCTTCAATTTCTTCCATCTTTCCAATTCAACCTTTTTAAATAGGATTATTTAGTTCATTATAAAATAAGTACAATTTAGAAAATTAAAAAAAAGCAAACACTTGAAAAATCAAGAGTTGACCAAATGTGTCATATAATACAGTGATAGGGTATTAATATTTTAGCTAACTAATTTTACAACATATGTTCCTCCAAATTTAATGTATTAATCAAATATATATTCTACACATCAAAGATAATAATCTCTGTTTTCCGAAGTATTTGAAGCCCTTTAAAAGAATCGTCTTATGAGAGAATTTGCAAGAAAAACTCTCAATTCTTTTTAAAAAGAAGTGCACATACAATGATTTAAAAACATACATGAATCTGTATGTCTCTGGACCAAAACTCGAAAGGCATAGTTAGAAACATTACCACATTAGGCTGAAAGGGTTTTTTGTGGGGCAGGGGGGCAAATTTTCTTTGACATTGTCCTTTTTTTCCCCCAACAAAATATTTTTTTAAATTGGAACTAATATAATACTTAACAATATAATAAAACCAAGAGACATTCATACTATAGAAATAATACAACTAATGTTCCTTGGCTTTTATTCTGTGCTCTGTTCACAACTAGAGTATAATGCCTTCAGGGTACAACTCTGCTGGAGTTTTGACTTTTCTTCTTTATAGTCATTTTATAAAATCTGTGACATTTTAATGCAGTGCATATATATTATGTCTATTACAGTAATGTAATTACCATATTTCATTCATTCCAATAAATTTCTTGTATTGATATTTCTAAAGGAAGCTGAAAGCGCAATTAGAGAGGACTTCAAATTAGTAAAACTCCATGGCAGTGGTTATATCAGGCTATGAAATCATGAAGACCTGGGGTTAAATCCTCACTTTGCCACTGGTTAGTTGTAAGAGCTTGGGAAAGTTATCTAACCTCTCTAGCCTAAGTTTCTTCATCTGTATATTGGAGCTAATAATACTACCTAGCATCATAAGACTGTTAAGAAGATTAGAAGAGACCATGCATATGAAATGTGTCAGAGTGCTTGGCACACAATATGGGCCAATAATTGTTAGCTATTGCTATTGTACTACATGATTCTATTTTTTATAGTAATGAAGGAAAACAAACACATTTAATAAGTTTGATCAGTCAATAACATATTTTCTGAGTACCTATTATGTTCCAGACACCTATGCAGTGGTAGGAACACACCAGTTCTTTGATATGATAAGAGCAGGATATTATGGAAACAATGAAGAAGGACTCCTAAAGACTTGGGCATTAGGGCTAGGATAGAGGAGTCTGAGGTATCTTGTCTAGGGAGATGATACCTGAGTCTGAAAGATGAGTAGTTGTTAGTAAACAGAGTTGGGATGAATGATAGTGATGGAGAGACATAACTATACAAGCAATTCACTGTTCTTAGAGCAGTAAGAGAGTGGACTGAAGAGGTAAGCAGACAGACCAGGAAGAGTACTACATGTTATATAATCCTAGCTTCTGAAGGGTTTTCAGAGGGGTGTGCCATGGTCAGATGTGTATCTCTATGGATACACATTTTACCACTTTAGCAACTGCCTGGCAGATTGATTTGAGGTAGAAAAACACTAGAGACAGTAAATAACTGTTGGGAAGCTATTATAGTAGTCTTGTCAAAAGAAGATATGGTTTGGCAGTACTAGAGGGGAAATGACAGATGTAAGAAATATTCAAGGGTTGAACCATAGCAGAATTTGGTGAATAACTGAATGAGGAGAGGATCCAGTCCAGGACACTTATACAATTTCAGACTGGGAGATGGGATTGTGGTGCCATCAACTAAGAAGCAGACTAACCAAAGAGGAGAAATTATTTTTGTTTGTGTAGGCTTGAGGTGCCTTTTACAATTCAGCTAGAGCTGTTGGGCGGATAGCTGAACAATATGTTTGGAATCACAGGAAAAGAAATAACAATAGATTACGGGGTGATTAGAGTATATTTGATAATTAAAAGCTACTGTGAAGAGCAGTAGGCTAAGGACAGACTGAAGAATAAAAGAATTTAATTCAACAATGTCCAATACAGGAAAGTCCAAAGGGAGACAAATATTTTACTGGATTCAACAGTTAGGAGGTCAGTGGGTAGACATATATTAATACAGTTCATTCAGTCCTTCAACTACTTATTAAGGAAGCATTTACTGAATACTTACAATGTGCCAAGCACTGTGCTATATGCTATGGAAACAAAACTAAATAAGAAACAAGAAGCCACTAGTATAGAGGGAAGATAGATAATTAAACAGTTAGTTACAACATAGTGTATGAAATGTAAAGTACACCTGTTTAGTCTGTTAGGCTCTGTTCCAGATGCTTATTTCTAAATACTCCTAGGTGTTCCTTGTACCTAAACAGGAGAAGTTATATTCATTTTATAGTTGAGAAAACAGACTCAGAAAGGTTAAATTGCCCAAAGACAGACAGCAGGTTAGTAGTAGAGCTAGGATTCAAACCTAGGACTGTGGTACCTAAGCCCATGCACTTTATACTTTCTTATGCTAACTCTGATTTCAAATTTCCTCAGCTTACTTATTTATTTACTTTTGAATATGTAGAAAGCAATCTTGATACACATAATTTTTTCTACTTGAAAATGTTAAATGTTTCAAAGAAGTTGGAAAGAAGTTACTCAGCCTATATAATTCACTGTATACAGTCCCCATAAAGTGAACAATTAGGTGCTTAAATAAATTCATTTTTAGAGTAGTGGCAGAATTATTAATTATACAAAGAAAATCTTAGTCTTACATTATGATTTCTGGGAACCTAAACATTCACATCCACAGAATAAATTCTTAATAATGTGGTATTTAGATTTTATGAACAATCCACACTATCTTAATGGAGAATAAAACAAAGTTAAAATATATTGGGCTTTCTATAGTTAAAACTACCAAAACAAAAAAGAACAGTTATCAGAAAAGAAACTTTAAATATCTAATTACCTTCTTTGCAAAGACCAAAATCAGCAATTTTCACAAAGCCCTCTGTATCTAGCAATAAGTTATCCAATTTCAAATCTCTGTTCAGGATGAAAGAAAAAGGCAAAAGGAAAAAAAAAAAAAAAATCAGTAAAATCAGTAGATAATGTAGTTGAAAAAAAATCATTTCAACAGGAGTGCTACATTTTCTTTACTGAAAACAGGTTTTCCAGGTTTTAATTTGAGATTTAAATGATATATTACAAATGTTCATTTTCCTTCTTTTTGTTGTGTTTTTACTCTGCATAATATAGTTTCTGAATAATTTTTTTTTCTGTGTTAAATAGGACACTTTGAAGTTTGAATAAACTCATTGTGTTGTTAGCTGCCACTGAGTTGCCCCCCAACTCATGCTGATCCCATGTACAACAGAACGAAACACTACCAATCCTGTACCATGAGCCCATGGGTTGCAGATTGGACTTTTGTGATCCATAAGGTTTTCACTGGTTAATTTTTGGAAGTATATTGCTAGATCTTTCTTCCTACTCTATCTTCATCTGGAAGCTCTACTTAAACCTGCTTGGCATTATAGCAACACGCAAGCCACCAGTGATGGATGGTAGCTGTGCAGGAGGTGTACTGGCCAGCTGAACCTGGTCTCCTGCATACAAGGTGAGAATGCTGTCACTGAACTGACCTCAAATGTTTATAGTTTACAGTTACTATCAGATAGAGTAACACTGCTCAAGACCAAACAAATTATGAAAAGGCCAACCAGAATTGGTAATCTGTCTGATCGAGAGTAGTATTAAGGAGTCCTGTGGCACAAATGGTTAAGTGCTTGAATGCTAACTGAAAAGTTGGCAGGTCAGACCCACCCAGCAGCACCATGGGAAAAAGAGCTGGAATAAAGATTACAGCCAAAAAACCCCTATGGGGCAGTTCTACTCTGTCACATGGGGCTGCTATGAATCGGAATTGACTTGATGGCACCTAACAACAACAATTAACAGAGCAGTGCTATTCAAAGTGTGGCCCATAGACAAGATGCTCTGCAATTAACTATTTGTTACTGGCCTACAATGTGTAAGAAATTTATGCTAGGTCACAAATCAGCTATGTCACTAGGTATACTGCTTAGTTCAGTTGATAGCAAGACTTTCCATTAGGGAAGCAATGCAACATCTTACATTCTGACACAAGTTACTTATCTATTCACAGACATACTTTGAATGGTTTAGGACAGTTTTCTGAGTGGATCAGTTGAATGCAAATATGAATGTGAATTATATTATGATTAAGCTGACTCATAATTTGACTAATTAGTGAGGATCAGAGACAAATAAGTCAATTATTTAATTATTAGGTTAACCACATGTCTTCCAAACTGGGAGTTTGAAATTTTTTTAAATAACATATGCAGGAGACATAAGCTGGTCAAACATAAAATATCCTTCTTAATTATCTTAATTCTAATTCACACAAAATTAAACCATTAGAATGTATTTAAAATTTACTTACCTATAAACAATTTTGTGTTCATGTAAATACTGCAACCCAAGAACTACACATGCAGCATAAAATCTGTTTGAAGGATTAAATCAAAAGAAATTTAATAAATTTCACTGTTCTTGGATCCCAGTTTACATTTTTATTCTTCAAAGCTGAACTCTGTAGTTAATTTCATAAATATCTATTTAGTCCTTACCAAGTACTAGACATTGTGCTAGGTTATGGGATGAAATAAAAAGAGAAAAATACAGTTTCAACAATAAAAGCCACTAATACTGACTGGTGTAGTCACTGAAGATTCCAGACTAGACATTTAATCTGGCTCTGGAGGAAGACTCACAAGGAGCCATAAGTGCAGGACAGGGTCATAGGTAGCAGTATTGTGGGTGAAATATAAGGCACTGCTCTAAAAGGCATAGCATGTTTGACAAGCAATGACAAGCTTGGTATGGATAGAGTAAAGGATTTGTATAAGTGGGGAAGAAGGAGTGGGAGACAAAGCTGGAAAAAGGCTGAGGTCATGTTGTACAAGATCTTGAATGTTAATGGATATTGAAATTTTTCCTTTTAGAAATAAGGAATCAAACCATTTTAGTCAGAGGAGAATGACCAGATTTATGTTTTAGAGAGATTTTTCTGGTAGTAGTATACAGGTTAGAGTAGAAGCAGATAGAGAACCAGAGGGGAGAAAGAACAGATAATACAGATGAAAGATCATGACAAGCTCCAATGCAATGGGAGAACAAAGACCATAAGAGATGGAGTTGAAGAGAAGGTTAAAAACCAGCACTTTAGTGACTCATTAGTTGTAGAGGATGAAGGACACACATGGAAGAGCTCAGCAATGACTCTTACAGTGGAACAATCAGGTAAAAATATAGAAATAGCAAAAGTTTTATGGGGAAAATGAGTTTGGTTTTCGACGTGTTGACTCTGCTTAAGAGGCAGGCAGAGATCTAATAATTGGATATGTTGTTGTTGTTATGTGCCATCGAGTTGGACCCGACTCATAGTGACCCCTCCTTGGGTTTCCGAGGCAGTATCACTACGGAAGTAGATTGCCCCATCTTCCTTCCGAGGAGTGGCTGGTGGGTTTGAACCGCCAGCCTTCTGGTTAGCAGTCAAGTGTCTTAGCCACTATGCTACCAGAGCTCCTGATAATTGGATACAGTAGTTTGAATATCAGGAACTTGGGCCCTGCTAGAATATTAGCTGTTGAGGCTAGGTCCATGTTTTTCTTTTTTACTGTTATATTCTAAATGCCTAGCATAATGTCTGAAACATTGTAGACTTAATGAACGAAGGAGCGAGGAATGAATAAATGAATGAATTGTAAAATTCAGATTTGTCTCCAACATTGAATAACTTATATAATTATAATTATATAATTATCAAAATTATATCATTATCAAAAATTAAAAAAAAATTTAGCTGAAGTCCATTTACATAAATGTGATCTAAAACTGCTTTAAGGTAGTTATTTTTACACATAATTTTTTAGTGAACTTACATCAGTGGCAAAACAATATTCTAACAATTATAAAACTATCTTGATTTCTTTTTGTCAATAAACTGCCCTGATTGTATGCAAATAACTGGATATACTATTTAAAAAATATTTTACTGAGTGTTTAATATATGTCAGGTGCGGTGTTAAATATTTTCATTTATCAGCTTATTTAATCTTCAAGCCTTTAAGATACATATTTAACAGAAACAGAAAATGAAGTTCAGAAAGGTACATAATTTGTTTAAAAGTCCTATGTTGTCGTTAGTGTTGGTTTTGACTCATAGTGACCCTGTGTACAACAGAATGAAACACTGTCTGGTCCTGTGCCATCCTCACAATCGTCGCTATGCTTGAGCCCACTGTAGCAGCCACTGTGTCCAATCCATCCTTTTGAGGGTCTTCTTTTATGCTGACCTTAAAGTCACATAGCTAGGTAGAAAACAGCAAAGCTAGGAATCAAACTAATTTTGATTCCATAGTATCAACCAATAAAAATTCACTAATTGTCTATTATATGCCAGGCATTCTTCTAAGTGCTTCACTGGTAAACAAGGTAAGCATGGTCCTTGTTCCTCCCTTTTAGTAAGGGGAGACAAACATAAAAATATAAAACAAAAATAAATAAGATGATTTCAGGTAGAAATAAAGTGCTGCAAAGAAAATATAACAGAAAGTAGACTAGATCAACATAATTTGGAAATTAGAGTGGTGGTACTCAGAATAGGACCTTCTAAAGAAATGACATTTGAGCTGAGACCTGAATGATTAGAGGATGGGACCTAGCTTTAGGGTACTGCAATGTAGCATTTTATTCAGGAATTTCACTGGGCATAATTGTTCCATTTGTATATGATTTGTATTCTCAGCAAAAAAAAAAAAGAAGAAAAAAAAATCCTTAAGACAGCACTGCAATATCTCTTTAAAAAGACAAAAAAGCACAACAAAACATTCCCAGCAGAGTTAGCATAGTGTCAGTATAGTCAAGATGCCCCACTTTTCATTTTTTTTTATGTTCAGAGAATGAATTATTGGTACCTTCTACTACTTCTTGGCTTTTGCCTCATTCTTGAGAGAGTTTTTTGCTACCCATTAGCATTGACTCATATTATTCCAGTTTTATAGCTCTTCACTGACATTTGTGTGGTACTTTTACTCCTTTAATTCTCATCATAACCATTAGAGACGTGTAGAGCAGATAGTATTAGTACTGTCATACCTTCAACATTCATATAAGGAAATAAATAGAGGTCTGTTTATACCTATATCTATGTATAGATATATATGCATCAAGTGTTTTCTATTATGTATTTGAGCAAAACCACCATATATTAAATTTAAAAAAGTACTGAAAGAAGTTGACAGTGAAAAGTCTGCTTTCTAGTCATTTCCTTGGAGGCAGTATATGTTTATTATTTATTTTGTGTTCTTTTAGAGATACCTATCATAAGCACATGCAAGTAAATACTTAATATACATATTCTTTAAAGTTCCCTTTAAAAATGCAAATACAAGTATTTTATACAGACACATAATACAGACTCTTCTGCACTTTCTTTTTTCACTTAGCAATGTCTATTAGAGCACAGTTTGTATTTAAAGCCATGGACCTGGATGGCATTCCCTAGGGAGAAAAATCTAATAGAAAAAATATGTAAATTTATGAAAATGAACCCAATTATATATCTAAATTATCAAATGATATTTTGACTAATTCATAATACATTTAACATGGATAACAGAGTAAAGATATCTATATACAACAAAAAGGTAAGGCGTTCTAACATTGCTTGCAGAAATCTATTTTCCACTAAAAATATCTGAAATTCACAGAGACCTCTTTTCCTTTCCACAAACGAGTCATGGATAAACTAGAAGAACGTTTAAAGCATACTCACACAGCTCTTGGTTCAGAAAAGACATCAGTATGAATGTGCATCATTAGGTCCCCACCGGCAGCATATTCCATTACAAAGCAAACATGCTCTTTGGTTTGGAAACATGCAAAAAGGTTCACCAAAAAGGGATGCCTTACACTATTCACAGTTTCAAAGATTCTTTTTTCACACATGAGGCTGAAAAAGAAAACATTTGGAAATCAAAAGATTAAAAAAAGAAAAAGAAAAAGATCTAGTTGGAAATAAGATTCTTGAAATATTATTAAACCCTAAAATAAGTAAAATTTCTTAAGTTTTATACCTGTAAACCCCGTAAAATATGTCTGAATCTTCCTACTGTACTACACAAACTTTCTACTTCATAAACATACTTAATTGCAATATTTTGATGAAAATTAAAATGATTACCAGGGCATAATGGTTATAGAGTTCATATTGATAATATAAGAGTAGGATGCATATGGCTAGTGGCCATATTTAAAAAAAAGGAATTAATTTGGGATGGGTCATGAAATTTTATAAAGAATTGTTCAGAGAACTTAGCAACTTGAAACATACTTTAAAGCTGTGATCAAGATAATTTCTAGGATAGTACCTACAATTCAAAAGCTATAATAAATAAATAAATATTTGACTTTTTATTATATAAAATACAGTTGAGAGGTAAAGATACAAGTGATTTAATTCTAGATAAAATTCTAATTTAGAAAGCTGAATTAAAAATTTTAATTAAAAAACAAAATAACATTTTATTTAATAAATGAAAATTTATTAAAATGAACCCAAATTATGGAAAATAAAGTGGCTATATGAAGCATTCTTGAAGGAAGCTCCTTCAAAGTTTTAAAATTTTTCCACAATAACATAGGTGAATCTACTACAATCCCAAATTTTCTCCCTAAGAACTATGACCTGCTGGTACAAAGAACACAAGTCAAGCTTATTGACTCTGAAACATTAATTCTATCCAAATAGTAAAACAAAGCATTCTTCTTTCCCTGAAAATATTTTCCATCAATTTGATTTGAAACTCAAAGACTAGGTAATATATTATTCAAATAAAACTTGAATTGATTTATTTACTTTTAGTACCTGATTAAAACAGAGATACCAATAGCCATACTTCTTAATAATTAGATATTTACATTTTGAACACAAACTTTTTTTTTTTGAGATTAGAAGCAAAATTTGACAGTAATAGTGTGTTTTTTTTTGTTTGCTTTTTATTCCAAAATGCCAAATTAAAATTCTGACATTACAAGAGAACTTAAAAAATTACTAATTACAAAAACATAGTATTTATTTGAGGGCACAAATTGTGTGAGATGACTCTAAAAAATGGAATATAATTTTTAAAATATTTAAATGTCTACCTGCTGTGTAGAAGCAGCATGAAATTTTTAATGCTATACTGGTATAGCTGCTTACTGGCTTATGAACTCAAATACCTGTTCATTTATAAATACTAATAGTAAATGCAACTATCATGATATAAGTGATGTTTAAACTTCACTTAATACTGTCACATTCTAGATGAAATCCTACCCCTTGAATTTTATACAATCTTTTAAATTTTACACAGTCAGAAACAAAAAGCTCCACTATAATTGTTTTAAAATGTTACTACAACTTAAAACATTATTTGAAATAAACTCATAAAAAATTAAAAGTAAAGGTAATGGTTTTGCATTTCTAGTAAATAAATTTTATTAGGAAATAATATCCTAAAAACTGCTTTGGGCTAGATCTATAAAATGGATATTAAAACATCTGGTTTTTGAAGGCAGTGTAAATTTTGGCCAATGTAGATAAAATATTCAGATGAATTCGACAAAATGGTGAGATGTGTTGGGCTAAAGGAGATGACAAACAAGGAGCCATGGTTAACTGCTTTGCTGTTAACTCAAAGGTTGGTGGTCCAAGCCCACCCAGCAGTTTTATGTGAGAAAGATGCAGTGCTCTGCTTCCATAAAGATTACAGTCTAAGAAACCACATGGGGCAGTTCTACTCTGTCATATGGGATCCCTATGAGTCAAAACTGACTCCATGGCATCTAATAACAATAACAGATGACAAACATAGTCATTTTTTGTCAACGGTCTGTATTTATGAGTGAATTACTTATTCTCTGTTGGATGGGGTGGCTGTTGAGAATCATTATGTGCAATGTGTCATGTTGAAGATGTAAATGTAGTATAGAACACTGAAACTCATTGATCAAAATACTTTTTAAAATGGTTTTCATGCCATTTATTGCAACTGAAGTTGACAAGGACTGGCAATACTCGATAGGTATTTTAGGAGAACGAGAGGGGGAAGGCCTTAAAATAATTTCAAGTATTTTATAGCACACAGAAAAAGCTACTGCACAAGAGCCTTTAGCTTGTCCTTATGTAACTAGTACATTCTTCTTAAGAATCCATGGAACAATCCAGTCTTATTCAAAATTTTAAAACTTGATTCACTCTGTCCAGAATCCTTCTAAATTGTCCTTTCTTGTCTCTCCACATTATCAAATACCTTCTCTCTGTCAAAGAACAACATAAGTCTAAGTGCCTTTATAAGTCTTATCTAAATCCATCAGCTCACCATGTTATTATCCCCCTTTCAATGAACTGCCATTGTCTATATTGCTCATTTTTAACCAAAATGTGTTAACTCTCTTATTTATTTAATGTATTTGTGACTTGCTCCCTGACTGAATGGCTAGTTCCATCCTCACATTTTTTGTGTACTTCCTTTAGAGTTCAGATGATTAGATATATTAGAAACTTGAAAACTGTATTAAGTTATTTTAGTCAGCAAAAAATCACATCATTAATAAGGCTAAGGCCACAGGACTGAATCCTAGATAAGCTAGTTGTGCTTTGCAAAAATGTACTCCCAACCCTATTCTGTTGTGTCAAATTATGAACTGGGAAGAAAAAGAGGCTGAGTGAGAAGGCCTTACAATAATATAAATTTAACATCCTTACTTGGAAATGGGGGGAATTGGAACTCAGAATACTGTTAATTAATGGTGGGTAGCGAATGTGGTCTTTGTGTGTGATTTATTTTGGAGTTAATTTATAATATGTTCATTTAAAAAGAGGTTGACTTGAAATATTAAAAGGCAGTTTTCTAAGTAAAGTAATATAATCCATAATATAGAAAGAAACTTCAGACTATGTAAGAGAACTGTTATTAAGAACAATAAGTAGTTTAGGAATTCTGTTAAAAAAAAATAAATCACTAATATACAGTAACAATGATTTCTAATGATCTATTAAAAGGAGTCAGTGAACATAAAAAGGATACTGTTTAGTTATAATTAGCTTAGTCTGAGTTATTTACTATTTGAGACTTGCAAGTAATAAATACATATAACTAAAACATACGGTGGTCTATTTTTTTTATGTTGATTTTTTTTTTTCTTGCCTTCCTCTAACTGCTTCTTGTTTCCTGCCTTCCTCAAATTTCTTGAAGAGCTTTTATTTCTTGATCTGAATTTTCCACTTCTCTACTTTAGCATCAGTTCTTCTGGAGATTATTTTACTTCCATGTTACTGGAAAGTACAGGGATTTAAAACTGAAGTTAGATAAGGATCACTCACAAACTTTCCTCCAAGGTTGGATTCATTTTCAGTAATAACAACCACCTTAGTTCTGGTTAAAATTCCATGTACCAATCTAGACATTCTTCTTTAATATAGTCTTAATAATATTCTGTCTAGACTTAACTGAAAAATGTTTTCCTAAAATGACTTAAAGTAGGAACAATGTAGCAGAAAGCCATATAAACCATCAAGATTAACAGAGATCAAAACAAAAAATTTACCACTTACAGATCTGAAATAAAGCAAACATTCTTCCAGGAATGAAAAACATTTAACCCTTTTATTGTTGCAGCTGGGGAGCTCTGGTGGCTTAGTGCTTAAAGCATTTGACTGCTAACCAGAAGGCTGGTGGATGAAACCCACCAGCCACTCCTTGGAAGGAAGGTTGGGCAATCTACTTCTGTAGTGACACTGCCTTGGAAACCTAAGGAGGGGTCGCTGTGAGTCAGATCCGACTTGACAGCAGTGAGTTTGGTTTTTTGGTATTGTTGCAATTATGAATAGACTGAAGGTGGGATTAAAAATTTGCTTCAATCACCTGCTTATGTAACATAAAAACATAGCTCCAAGCATGTAATATGGCTCTCTGAGGCTCAGAGAGGTTAAATGAAATACCCTGTGGTCAATTATTAATTAAGAAGTAACAATCAGGACTAGAAGTCAAGCTTCTCACAGCCTAGGGCTCTTTTCATTATACAGGGCTATCGTCCATTAATATTCAATAGATGCTTCCTAGTTGTGTAAGAGAAATATGTCTTGCAAATACCAAATAGGAACCTCTTTGTGTGATAAATATGCCATTTGTTATATAATAATTTCTATATTTGTCACTCTGTATTAACTTTTTAAAACAGTCATTCTTTAGCCTAATTATAATCTTTATTCACAAAGTCCTTAAGAATTTAAGGACAATTTAAGAATTGTATGTATCTCCTTGAGGTAATCTTTACACCTTAAACTGAAATTATCCCTTGATCCACCACCTTTTATTTAAACAAAAGATGGCTCACATAATAAAGAATATCACTTGTGAGTACTGGGCTCTTTTAAAAATCATATATATGAGACTATATGGTCAAAAACTACTCTAAAGCAAAGATGAGACAGTAAGGAAGCAGGGAAATTAGAGTACTGGAAATGGTACAACCAGAAAGGAATGAATGAGAATAACACATTTTGAAAAATGTAACCAATATCACTGAGTAATCCGTGTAGAAACTGTTGAATGGGAACCCAATTTGCTATGGAAACTTTTACTTAAACACACAAAAATAATACTGTTTAAAAAAAATTGTATGTAAAGATGTATCCACATTAATTTATATTTATTATACCCAGAAATTTAAGATCTTATTGTCAAAAAATGATTTTAGGAAAATAAAAGTTGGCAAGGGACTTATTTCTAAGATTTATAGAAAACTCCAATGCCTCAACACCAAAGGAATTAACAATCCAATTGAGAAATAGGCAGAAGACATAATAGACACTTCACCAAGGAGGATATTCAGGTGCCCAACAAACACATGAAGAGGTGTTCACGATCGTTTGCCATCAGAGAGATGTAAATCAAAACAACAATGAGATACCACTAATATTCACCCCAGCACTAATGGCAAAGTCAACAAGACAGAAAATAACAAATGCTGGTGAAAACGTGGAGAGATTTGGACTCTCATACACTGCTGGTGGGACAGTGAAGTGATAGAACCACTGTGGAAAGCAGTATGGTGATTCCTTAGAAAGCTAGAATTGGAGATACTATTTGACCTAGCAGTCCCATTACTAGGTATATATCCTAGAGAGGTGAGAGGCAGGACAGGAAGAGATATTCATTGCAGCACTATTTACAATAGCAAAAAATGGAAACAGCCTATCTGTCCATCAGCAGAAGAGTGAATGAGCAAACTATGGTATATACACACAATGGAATGCTATGCAACACTAAAGAATAATGTAGAGTCCGCAAAACACCGCATAACATGGATGAACTTGGAGGATATTATGCTGAGTGAAATAAGTCAATCACAGAAGGACAAATAGAGTATTAGTTCGTTGTTGTGGAGGGTCAAGGACAGGAGGGAAACTTTCTTTGTTGGTTGCCAGGGCCAGGAGGGGAAGGGAAGGAACACTGCAAAGAAAAAAGAAAAAAGAAAAAGCATTGACCCATGTCACTTTGTTGTTGTTGCTGTTATCTGCTGTTGAGTCAGAACTGACTCATAACGACCTCTCCTTGGGTTTCCAAGGCAGTATCACTGTGGAAGTAGATTGCCCCATCTTCCTTCCGAGGAGTGGCTGGTGGCTTTGAACTGGTTGCCAGCCTTCTGGTTAGCAGTCAAGTGCCTTAGGCACTATGCTACCAGAGCTCCCCATGTCACTTTAGTTTTGTGTATTTCACTGTACATAAATTGTGCTTTAATAAAATGCATGAAAAAAGGTAAAGGAAAAAATAGATAAACGGATATAGGTATTAATATAGGTTGAATTGTATCCCCCAAAAATGTGTTATAAATCTTAATTCCTGTAATTGCAGTTATAATCCCATTTGGGAATAGGTTTCCTCTACTATGTTAATGTGGCAGTATTAGTGTGGGGTGTGTCTTATGTCAATATCTTTTGAAATATAAAAGACATTAAGCAAGGAAGAGAGATGAGGATAGATAGATGCATAAAGATTTCCAAAGAGCCAAGGAACAGAAGCTGAAAAGACAAAGACCTCCCCTGGTAGTGCAGACAGACAGAAAAAGCATCCTTTTAGAGGCTAGCCCTGATTTCAGACTGCTAGCTTCGTAAACTGTTAAAAAATAAAGTTCTGTTTGTTAAAGCTACGTATGTGTGATATTTTGGTAATAGCAGCACTAGATACTAAGACAGGTACATTCATAAAACAACAAACACACACTTTTTTTTATTTTGCACACTACTGATTACAAAAAGTTACTTTTTTGAGCTTTTAAGTTTACTATTTGGTTAACTAAGGAGCTCTGGTGGCACTGTGGTTAAGGTATTCGGCTGCTAACCAAAAGGTTGGTAGTTCAAACCCACCAGCCACTCCATGGGAGAAAAATGAGGCAGTCTGCTTCCATAAAAATTTAAAGCCTTGAAACCCTATGGGGGTCACTATGAGTTGGAACTGATTGATGGCAGTGGTAGGTTTTTATATGGTTAATTGCAGATTCTCTATATATAACTTCCTTAAGATGAAATGGGATCTAGACTCACTTAACAATGATGAGTAGTTTCCTATTCTGTAAAAATAGTTTAACATCTCAAAGTGTTCAAAATTTAACAGAACTAATTTTCACATTTCATCCAGTTTTCTGGTTATCCAATAACCAGTTAAATGTCAAAAGAAGGGGCAGAAGGAAGGGTTGGGAGGATGGGAAATCAGTATTTAATTAAAGTCTAACTTATGTCAAGCATAGACATATTTACTTTCTTCATATATTAAAAAGAAATTGAAAGTTTTGCTGTTACAGTATACAAATCAATTACAATTTCAGAAAAATTAACAACTTCATTCTTTAAAAACTCACCTGTCTACTTCATCTCGAGCTACAATGTCTCCTTTCTTTAAGGCTTTTATAGCAAACATCTCATTTGTATGCTTATATTCAGCTAAAAGCACCTGAAATGGTATTAAAATTATTATTTCCCAGTTGAGTTACTAATTTTGTAGGTATTCAAAAAAATTTCAAAAGATTACCTTTCCAAAATGTCCCCTACCCAAGACAGCACAACATCTGAAGTCTTGCAGATTAAATTGAAACCTTTGCTGAGATCTGAAAACAGTAATTTCAGTTAAAAAAAAAAAAAAGCAATTAACTGTGAGACCAAACATACAGTAGCAAAACTATGTATAAATTCTTTACCTTCTATCCTCCTCAAGTTCTCGAATACCAGTATAATCTAGACCCGACTGAGGAATATCAGGCTCATATTCAGATTGGGATTTTTTAAGTATACTATTTCTGTCATTCTCAATATCAAAAGTAGCTGCTGAATCCTGCAAAAATATTAAATATTTATTAAACTATAACAACTTTCAGAACATAAATTCATTTCGTAAGGATGAAGTTAAAAATATTTCAAAAGTCATAACTATTAGAAAAGTAAAATTCAGATATTGCATAGTCATTCTTCTGATTATTAATCCTATATTACACTTATCTAAAAATAAGAAAAACTAATATATTATTATCATCTTCCATAAATATTCAGAAATGATACAAACCAAGTATAATAATTTCTTTAGTTAGGTAATTGATTATCTGGCTCCACAATGATTATATTCAAATGATAAAATGATGTCACATATAAAGATAATGAGTTTGCCAGGCAATGGGTCATTTAATGTCAACCATGCTTCTATGCGCCTTAGATCTTAAGAGGCCTATTTCATCTCTACTGGTCCATGTGTATCCAGAGGCTAATGCCAATAATATGGTAACATTAAGAAGTTGGTCATCTTCTGTCAATATGATCTAATTGAGTTGAGAAAAACCACCCATAAGAAACAAATACATGTTCACAGAGGCAGTTTTTATTTAATTAAAAGGTACAGTTCATGCACTGATACTTTTACTACTTATTCATACAGTGAAAAGGAATTATACAAGGTTTAAAATGTCTTGCCTGTCCTTGTGTATCCAAAACTCTTAATTCAGTAGATTCATCTATTTCTCCAAGGGAAGAAGCATGTAGTGAGGCCGGAGGAGGTTCAGGTTCAAGATCAAAGTCCAATTTGGTTACTGTAGAATCACTTACAGAACATAAAGTAATTCACCAAAAATAGTAATCCAAAGTATATATTTTAAATAGCTTTAGAATTAAAGCAAACAATTTAAATTTTGTAAGTAAATAATACTAATTTCAAAGTACAACTTTGAGAAATGAGGCTTTCAATACAGCCACTGTAACCAATATGTAAAAATGTCACAGTAATTATTTTATAGAAGTGATGCATAAAAATCTTAGACATATACCTAGCTGAAGGTGCTAGTTCAGGGATGCGTACATCAAGCACTGGCACTGTCGTAGGCATAGAAGCCTGAGGGCTAAAGGTGCCAGAATGATTTAGAATCGCTCTTCTCACCAGCCTTCCCCAAGTGGCAATATTAATATTCATCTGAGGAGCTCTGAGAAATGCTTTGCCTGTGGATATTGTGAATAAAGAAAACAGAATAAGTAATTTCTTTATATATTACTAAAAGCCATAATTTAAAAATTCATATTCATCAGTTTATAATTTATGAGGGACAAACAAAATTTGTCATTTAAAGAACAATTGGTTCTTATCTAGTCATTACTAAAGGCTATTCCAAACCAGGTAGTGTTTTGTTCTGTTGTGCACAGGGTTGCTATGAGTCATAGACAACTCAATGGCACCTAACAACAACATTGCCTACTAACATATGCTAACATAAGCTTTAAAAATAAATAGGTAAGGAATAGTTAGCTTTTTTCTTAAGTCTAGTGTTCATATATGGTTAAGGTTTAGACAAGAATTCTTATCCTTTTTGAGAAACAAAATGTAGTATTTATGGTTGAATCAATATGATGTCTGTCTGGGTTTGCTTCCAATAATCTAAGGAAGAAGTGAATGGATGGGAATATGAAAAAACAAAATTATCTGTGATTTGATCATAGCTGAAAATGGGTAACTGTATGTTACACTATACCGTCTCTTCATACGTACCATAGTTTTATACAAATGCGTGCCCTCTACACTGTTTGGTAACCATCCTTTGTGCCCCCTCCCCTACAGTTTCGTAAGTGTCACTATGCTATTTTTTTTTCATGTTGTAAAAAAAATTACAGCACTCAACAAAAGTAGAATGTGCATTATTTGTGTAAAAATGCAGTACATGTTTAAAATATTCTTTAAAAAAAAGTTAGAAATAAACGAACTATAAAAGGAAAGCAAAACAAAACATGGACAGATATCACTTTATAAAAAGTATTTAGATTTTCTATATTTAATACAAGGAGCTCTGGTGGCATAGTGCCGAAGGCACTTGACTGCTAACCAGAAGGCTGGTGGTTCAAACTCACCAGCCACTCCTTGGAAGCAAGGTTGGGCAATCTACTTTCGTAGTGATACCGCCTCGGAAACCCAAGGAGGGGTCTCTATGAGTAGGATCTGACTTGAAGACAGTGAGTTGAGCTGAGTTGTTGATATTTAATACAATGCCAATACAGTGTGTATTACATTCTTAATAATTACCTTGTTGTTTTGAGAAAATTTTCTTTTGCCTTTGGAGTTTTGGTCGTCTTTCAATAACTGGATTAAAAAAAGTAACCTGCAGGAAAGAAAATTCAAGTTGACATAAAAATAGCATTGGATTTATGGTTCAAGAAATTCACTAAACTTTTAAGATTTGAAAGCTTAAAGCATTCTTAGATTTAATTTAGCCCAACCCTCTCATTTTCTAGATGAGAAAGCTGAGAGAAGATAAATGTTTTTCAAGGTCACATTACCTATTCACCAGTAGAACTGAGCCAAGAGTAAGTCTTTTAGCCTACTAGTCTTTCCACTTTTGTACTACCTACATACATAATTTCAATTGAAATTATGTGAATTTAATAAAATACTTTTATTACCTCTGCAAATAAAGTACCCTGTGGTTCCAAATAGAGACACATGCCATGCCGCTGGTTGTCTAAAAAATCTTCTAACCTCAGAAATTTTACAGCACATAGAGATCGCCAATCACGCCAATAAACTGAAATTTCCAGTTCACGCGACTAGGATAATTAAAAAAAAAAGAAACAAAAGAAAGACATCATTGGACATACACTTGAATAAAACATCACAAAAAATATAAAATACAAATACAATGAACAAATATAACAAAAAAAGTTTTACTTTTAAAGAACATTTTATAGTATCTCTCTCAAATGTAATATGACTTTGAACATATTTACATATTTTATCTTAAAGGAAAACACATTCTGTCTCCAAGGTATGTATTTTATGTATACAAAATTGGGAACACCCAATCCAGATGAATGGCCACAGAAACTCTTTTTCCCTATCAAAGCTTCAATCTTTTGGTTTTCTTTCCTCTATCTGGCATCATTTCCTATACTATTACTAAAAGAACCCAGTGCTTCCCTCAAAGAACTAATTTCAAGCTTTCTTATTTTCTTGTCCCACTGTTAAGTCAGGGAGAGGTCTGTGACAATAGTATTTATTTAGCACTGATACATTGTGCTAAGTACCTATAATATAATTTAATCCTCAAAAGAATATTATGGGGTAGTAGGACTAGTGATACACCACTCATCTGTCAGTTTGTTGTATTGTGGTGGCTTGCATGTTGCTGTGAGGCTGGAGGCTATGCCACTGTATTTCAAATACCAACAGGGTCGCCCATGGTGAACAGGTTTCAGTAGAGTTTCCAGACTAAGACAGGCTAGGAAGAAGGAGGAGGCCATCTTTTTCTCAACAAATTAGCCAATGAAAACCTTATAAATAGCAGTAAAATGCTGTCTGATACATTACCAGAAAACTTTATGAATAGCCCTGAAACACTGTCCGATATAGTGCCAGAAGATGAGCCCCTCAGGTTGGAAATCACTCAAAACACAAATGGGGAAGAGCTGCCTCCCCAAAGTAGAGTCAACCTTGATGTGGATGGAGTAAAGCTTTTAGGACCTCTATTTGTTGATGCAACATAACTCAAAATGGGAACAAACAGCTGCATACATCCATTAATAATTGGATCATGAGGAAATAATTGGATAAAAAAACACAACAAAACACAAGGGTATTTGGAAGCAATCAGCCCTAGGACACGACGGCCTCAAGACCAGAAGAACTAGATGGTGCCCGGCTACCAATGCCAACTACTCAGGAGAGGATCAAATCTGGAGATCCTGGATAGAGTGGGAAGAAAAACATGGAACAAAATCCAAAACCTCAGTAACGAGCAGAATTACTGGTCAGATGGAGTCTGGCGAGACCCCTAATACTATGGCCCTGGGATACAATCTAGGTCTGGAATAAAACTCACTCCCAGGGGCTGGCTCTCAGCCCAATAATTAACAAGATGTACATGCAGACCACTTAACCCAGGGTGATGCACCCACATACTCTATGGAAATACATCTCTTGGAGCAATAGACCAGTGGGGCGACAGTCATACAGAGAAATGTAGGACAAATAGGAATGCATAACTATGAAGGGCACGAGGGCAGGGTAACTGGGCAGGGAGGGGAAGAGACTAGGTTAGGGTTGGGTATAGTAAATGGGGAATAAAACTAAATGTGCACGTAAAGTTGAATGTAAAACAAACTCTTAAAAAAAAAAAAAAGACTGGATAGACTAGGAAGAAAGACCTGGCCAAAAAAAAAAAAAAAAATATATATATGAATAATCAGATCATGAAATGTACAAAGTTTGAATCTAGGAAAACTGGAAGTTGTCAAAAGGAAATGGTATAGCAAGGATTGTGAGGCTGGTGCAGCACCGGGTAACGTTTTGTTCTGTTGTACATAGAGTCATTATGAGCCGGGGCCAACTCAAGGGCACCTACTCACAACAGGAGCAGTGATGGCAGGAGCCTGCATCAATAGGGAGGAAAAGGGAAAATTCAGACTAAGCTTCACACAGAAAAATATTCATTTGTTAAAACATGAAAAAATCAGCAAATAAGCAAACACATGAAAGTCCTAAAACAGAAGGTAGATTCTGTTATTAAAAATGATGCTTATGTGGGAAAACATATTTAAAACATTGGTTTTAACAATCAGTTAATAAATTCCTTCTAGAACACAGTTTAAAAGTTGGGGTCAGGCTATAAACTGACCTCTACATATATATTATATTCTATATACATTTCAATTATAGTTTTCCACTATTGTTCAGGATTTTGTAGTTCATCCACAAAAAGAGATAAATGTTCTTCCCTCCAGGCACAATCAAGTAATAAATTACTTCTTTTATATAACAACTTTCAATTTTACTACATATGCTCCTAGCATGTATGACAAAAAAAATCTTTTGACTTTAACAAAACTAGTTGATGCAAATGAACACAGAAAACACACAATAAAATGTATGATGAAAAAATGGATTAAAACACAATGTGCCAGAAAGTCTCATAGTCAATCAGGAAAAGTATCAGAAGAACATATTGATGGCAGTGAGTATGCGAACGCAGGGCCCACTACCTCGTTCTTACCTGATTCATAGTTGACACAGGGGAGAATACTAATCATGAAAGGCAAAGTGTTAAGAGAGTACAATTATTTTTTTCGGAGCTCTGGTGGTGCAGTGGTTAAGCATTCTGCTGCTAATCAAAAGGTTGGAGGTTTGAACCTACCAGCTACCTTGCAGAAGAAAGATGAAGCAGTTTGCTTTTGTAAATATTTATAGCCTGTCACTCCTCAGAAGGAAGATGGGGCAATCTACTTCCGTAGTGATACTGCCTCGGAAACCCAAGGAAGAGGGGTCGCTATGAGTAGGGTTCGACTCGAGGGCACATAACAACAACAACAACAACAACAACAACAACAACCCCTTTAAGGCAGTGGGTTTGGTTTTGGTATATAATTATTTTAAGATCAGCAAATGGCAGGCATATAGAAGGATTGGATTAGTAGCCAATATTATTCAAGTTAACAGTGTCAATATGCTGGATAAAATGATTTTGGGAAATAAATTGAAAGAATAAATGTATCAGGAACTGGTAATTTGGACTACAGTGTTTTAGACTAGAGGAGGAGAGGAGGAGAGGTCTGCTTTCTTTCTCTCAACTTCTAAGGTCTCAGGGAGGAAGACTTGTTATAGATCAGGCAAACAAAAGGGGGACAGGTGCTAGGGCTGGAATTAGTATTTATTAAAATTTCTCATACTTTTACATTGCTAAAATGATAGGATTATTTCTGTTTTACTCTGAATGAAAGGTGATTCAACTATCTCATGCTATTTACTCTAGCCATTCTGATAAAACTGACATTGACTCCTTTCTCTCCTTCGGTTTCTTTATTCCACACTTCAAAGCAAAGAATATAAAGATCTGAGATTAGGAATGGAAAGTAACCTCAATGATCTGCAGCCTAGGCCATGAGTGTTATGTAGCTTTCCTGGAGTTCAACATTGAGGCTTTAGATATAAAGCCCTTGTTCACCTTTTATTACTTTGTATTGTTAAGTATTATAAAAGAGGCATATACAATATGCAGTAATGGCACAAAGAGGGGAGCTGATGGACCATGAACCCAGTATGTCTGGCTTCAAAGCCAATTTATAGCAAACATATTACCTACGTTAAAAATGAGCAGAAACTTCTTGGAAGATGGCAGCATGAGCAGTTCTACACTTCCTTCTCCCCACACTATTACCAAAACAACCAAAAATCAGAAAAGTCAGCCTGTAAGATCTCTAAAGAACAACTAAAAAGTTGGCAGCAACTAGATGAACACAACATTAAGAAAAAGGTGACTTTCAAACAGTTGAAAAACTCTCCTTTTTATTGTGTGAGCCATTCCTCTTCCTTAGCTCTGTGGCAACAGTGGTTGTAGCAGTAGACTGCAGACTATTAAGAGAAGGGGTCTGTTCTCCAGCTCTGGAGTGAGTAAAGCAGACTTTTCTTTTGCTAGCAGACTCTTGTGTGTGTCAGTTCCCATGATGATCCTCCCAGTTTATACTGCCTCTTAGTTCTAATGGAGTGGGACAAAGTAGTGAATGATGCCTAAAGGCTGCGACCAGCCTTTATCACCTAGAACTAAATGTGATTGAAGCATACAACAGGCTTTTATGGGCCAATGGAGAAGTGGTAGTGTAACAGTTTCTTGAAGAATTTAGCCCTTTCAAGAGCTCTGTATATACAGGAGAACTGAGAAAGCCACACACATGCACTCGTTAAAATGCATATACACCAACACCAAATATGTAAGATAACTCTATGTTGTCACCTCAGGTAGACTCTAAGCATAGACTCATGTTGTAAAGGCTTGGAGAGATTTTTTTTTCCTCTTCTTCACACACAAGGAAATCTCTTTCCAAGCACTAGCTGGACACATGGCTAGGAAACAGACTCTTTGGTACCCACAAACGTCCAGGAGGACAGTCATTGAACAAACTGTTAGGGGAGGTTCTTGAACAGATGGACTCCAACAGGACTCAACTACAAAAACAATAACATTCCAAATCCTAGGGAAGGGGAAAAATCTGAAACTAGACCTAATACATTATAATATTCAAATGTCTCAGTTTCAACAAAAATACTAACAAGGCACAAAAAGAAATAAGAAAGGATAGTCCACTCAAAAAAGAGACAAAAGTTGTCACTATG